CGAACGCACGGTAAATGCTTGTGCTGTTTGTTTTCCCTGCAGGCATCTGTTCGTGGGCTCTTGCAGCGAAGGGTGGCGGCGCAGCGTTCCCCTGCAGGATGAAGGCCCCAGGCGGCGGCAGGCCCTGGTGCCTGGGGACCCTCCTCGCCCTCTGCCTCGCCCTCCGCGGCACCGTCGCCTGTCCCAGGCTCTGCGCCTGCTACGTCCCCACCGAGGTGCACTGCACGTTCCGGTACTTCACAGCCGTCCCACCGCACATCCCCCCAAACGTGGAGCGCATCAATCTGGGGTATGTATGTTCGACGTCGAGATTTCAAGTACTCTGTCCAGTTACCTTTCAACACTTTGCAAAGCAATAATTAAGAGTTTCCAGATTCAGGGCTAAAAATTAACCAAAGCAATAAATAAACCTTAAGAGCTGCACGTTCTGCAGCGTTCGGGATGCTCGCAGTCACAGCGAGCAAAGCCTAAGACCTCCGACACTAAGTGGAAATTTTGGGGATGTATCACAGGGCATGCAAGAACTTAAAAAAGTTTTGAACTTCAATGAATTCTTTTATATTACCCAAACATTTTGCATCTGTAACATGACACTCAGAAAGAGTCTGAAATAGAGAGCATTCTTTCTGGGAAAAGATAGTTCAGAGCTCAGCCAGTGGGCTGGAACATTAGTATGTGTATTAAAAGCTTCAGAGACTTTGATGTGACTTTGAGATGTCACACAGTGCTATCAAGTTTATGGGAAATAACCCGTTTGAATATTTCAGCCTCCAAAATGGTTCTGTTTTGTGAGTGGTTAAAGGAACTATACCCATCCTCAGCTGACCCCTTAATGCTGTTTCCAGCAATTCAATCAATGTCATACAATCAAATGACGAGACCAATCAGCAATATTCGACTGATCCTTGTAGCGCTTTTGATACACATAACTGCTGAGTTGTCCATATGCGTGTGCAGAGAATATAAAAGGACATTTTCATTGAAGTCTGCCCCTCATCTACCCTCGGCTTCCAGGCAACTTACCACATCCCAGCTGCTGACCCCCGTCTGCCCCTGCCTTCCACTGATTTTGTCAGTGTTGCCCAGAAGTGCCCTATGTGAAGTCTCACAATTAAGTACCAGCAGCTTTAGAGGACTGTGGGTTATCTGAGGTGTGAGACATCCATCTGGCTGGTGAATCGATGCAACTTACTTGTCACCACTGGGCATAGGAGGTGTGACCGCAGCATGAGCAGAGTCCCTGCGTTAGCCAACCAGGTCACCAAGTGCGATAGCAGTCACAAAGTCAAAGGCATCACAGAGCAGGTACTCGGCATCTGGGAGGCTTACACAGTGCCAGCTAATTCTGGGATAGTGTAGCACCGTCAATACTCACGCTGGCTGGACTTGGACACGACCGATGGTCAAACCTCCTATAGCAGTGCAGTCCTCACTCAAAGGGCTTTGTGTTTCATTTTTGGCTCCCCATTTAAAGCCAGCGTAGACTATCCATACTGTACTCGTGCTCATGGGCATCAGGGGAGGCTGAGGCCAGGTCTGCATTAACGAGTAGTGTGTGCCATTGAACACCTGTGGAGTGGAAATAAAACTCAAGATGCACAACTGAAAAGGGCGGATGGCACAGTCCAGCCAGGGACCAGGGAGGGACTGCAGGACACTCTGCAGAACCCCAGGCACAGCCCTCGTCATCCAGGTCCAAGAGGAAGGTCCCACCCCAGTGCCCTTGGTGTTACCTGGTTCTGAGCAGACAGCAGAGAAGGTCGCTCTGGTTCGTGGTCCTCTCTGTGATGCTGCAGTGCCGGGAAAGCCCTCAATTGAAAGAGGCGTCAATGTATCACCAACCTCTACCGTTACAGGAGCTCCTTGCTCTTCTGCAGTGAAGCCCAAAACTGCCATTCTTGTCTGCACATTTTTGCAGTTATTTTCCCTATCCATTGTGAAGACAGTCTTCAGAAAGCTGCCCTGGAACAGTTACCAAATCTTGTGCTAACATGAAGGAATGACTTAACATTTCATCTTAGCACCCAGAAGTGTTATCTACCTTCATGCATTTCCAAAGACTTGTTCTTTTGTTTTGGTTTGGTTTGTTTGTTTTAAAACTTGTGAAGTTTAGCCATCTGACTGAGCCCAGGTCTGGGCTGAAATGTGTGTTGCAGTTACAACAGCTTGCTTAGACTGACGGAGAGAGATTTTTCTGGCCTGGAGAAACTGGAGTTACTGATGCTGCACAGCAATGAGATAAACACAATCCCTGATAACGTGTTCAGTGATTTATATTCATTACAGGTAAGAATTGAATGACATCTTAACTAGGAGATGACCTAATCTTAATTTTTGTTATGCCTTTTAAACAATCTGCAGAAATGCTGATAAATGGAAGCAGACGAGCGGTCTGTAGCATGTTGGTTTCCTGTTTCCTATTGTGTCCATGTGAAAGACGAGGGCCTTCAAGATCCAGTGTCCTAATGGGAAATTTTTTTCTTTCCCAAGTGGGCGTTCAGGTTCAGTTCAAAGAGCACGATGAGCATATTGGCAGATATCTGTCAGCAACAGCTTAATGGGCAACTGCAGTTGAAACCCTCTTTGGCACGAGAGAGAAAGATTGCACCTGAAGCTGTTCCTAACTGCTGTCGAGAAGTAATAATGTTGTAGCTGTGGTGGACCGAGAACATGAGAGACCTGAACTGCTCGGACAGAAACCCGGGTACTGGCTCAGCTGCTGGTTTTAGAGGATTAGGGGTGGGGGTGGGAGGGAAAGGCAGATCCCAGACAAGCTTTGGGGCATACACATCTTCGGGTTTCATTAACCCTCATAAAGCGCAGTTCTGTGCCTGAAAGCTTCCTTGTTACCTCCTTGCAACTGGCTCAGTGAATCAGCTTTATGGAGTCCCCTAAGCTTTTCCTCCCTTCTCGAGCAGCAAGATGGCAACACAATTATAGTTTTAATGGAATTGTATTTGGCAGATAAACTTGCGTGTTATTGTGATTTTTGTCCTTTTTTCGTCAGTAATTTTCAAAATACAGAATTTGAATTTGTGACTGTAACAGTGTCATTCTAACAGGAAAAGTAACAACAGAAAGGGTGTCTCGGGTACCACGTGTAGTGCTTCAGCAATACGCCAGATTTGTTCATCTCATTGTTAGGAATTTGATTTTTAACCTGCCAGCAACAAAATGGCACCTGAGAGTTGAGGTTTGGCAACTATACATCTCACGGGACACAAATCCTGAAACCGGGAACACACTTCACAGTTCTGTTGGTTAAACTTCAAACAAAATAGACTGTTGCATGCATTTTTGTAGTCATAACCCTGGCTGGGACAGAAATCACTACCACAGTTTATGGTGAAATTCTGCTTACCCTTTTCATAAGTGTGGTTTAATTGGGATTTTTTGAATGAGAAATAAGCATTGCTTTATTTTATTTTTTAATCACTGCATTTGTAAATGTGACTGTGGAAGCGTGACCTTGGTGGACTGCGGGAACAAGAAAGCATCCTTGTAGGCCTGCAGCTAACGTTGCATTTAGAAATAAATCCACTTGCTAAGTTTTTTTCCCTATCACTCGCATTACTGGTCTGGTGAAGTACTTTCATGTCACAATGTAACCATCAATGAAAATTTTTTAGGAGTCTTATAACAATACAACATGGGTTAATATTATCCACTTCTTACTTTTCCATCAACAGGTCTTAAAAATGAGTTATAACAAGGTCAGAGTACTTCATCAGGATGTTTTTTATGGTCTAAAAAGCTTGGTACGGTTGCATATGGACCACAATAAAATTGAATTTGTAAATCCCAACGTTTTCTATGGACTCACATCACTGAGGTTGCTCCACTTGGAAGGAAATTTACTTAAGCAGCTTCATCCAGATACTTTTGTCACCTTGCGCTATAGCCAAATATTTAAAATATCCTTCATGAAGCACATATATTTGTCCGACAATGTGTTGACTTCACTACCACAAGAAATGTTTTCCTACTTGTCCGAGCTGGAGAGCATTTACCTTCATGGAAACCCGTGGTCCTGTGACTGCAGTCTACAGCGGTTTGCAGAATGGGCAAAACAGAGACCAGGTGAGCTGAAGGCTTTGTTTATGCTTTTTAATCATTTTGCTCTTTCTGATAAAGATAATTGTCCGTTATTTATTTATTAATTCTCCCAGAAAAGACCGGAAGACGGGATTTTTGTAGGCGCATGTCATCAGAATAAACAGATTGATACCATTCAGTGTCCCGGATTAAATGACTCTAGTGGTCTTAACCCATTCCCCAGTGCAGCTTTCCTGAACGGAATGTTTTCCTTGGCCAGTCCAAAGCTTCTGTGCACCAGGAGAATCCACGGGGAATAAGGAAGCTCGTTTTTATGTAACTGGCAAGAGTGAAGGCCACATTGTACTCTATTCTTTGTCAAAGAAATAAGGAGAGGGGCTCAAGGACTTTCTCTGTCGCTGCCCTGAGTAGCGGTTGCAGGCGGCAGTGTGACCCCCTGAGCCTGTGTGTCTCAGAACAAAGCCGTGGCCATGGACCACAGCAGAGCCCGCCTTGCCCGGTGTAAAACCCCGGGACAGAAGGACACCGTGCTGAGCTGCAATAGCAACATGCCTTGAGCAGTTTCATCAGAGAAAATGCATTGGTTCTCATAGGTTACTTTGAGATGAACTTTGTTAATATTTTATTCAAGAGAAGAACTTGCTGGTAGCTATATGTCTTTTTTAATACGAAAAATTGTATCATAAAAGCTAACTGCATTTTTCTTCCCTTCAGAAGTTATGAAGTGCAAAAAAGACCGAAGTTCTAGTGCTCAGCAATGCCCAGTTTGTGCTAGTCCCCAAAATCGTAAAGGGAGAAGTTTAGTGGATATTCCTTCTGCATCTTTAACCTGCTCTAAGCCAGCCATACATGACTCCCTGAAATTTAAAAACCTCACAGTGCCAGATGACGGGGATGTGAGTTCCATCTCTCCCAGGGACTTCATAGCTCCTATCGGATCCATGGTTTTGAACATGACTGACCAAGCAGGAAGCCGAGGTTACTTGGTTTGCAACATCCAAAAACCTAAAGAAATGTCTCCCATCTCGTTTGACAAAGATGGCAACAATACAGTACTCAAAACATCATTCTCGGCATTTCTTGTCTGTAGCATTGATTATGAACATATTCAGCAGCTCTGGAGCCTACTGGCGCTGTACAGTAATTCTCCCTTAAAACTGGAAAGGAACGGCCTAGCAACCAACATGCCTTTTATTAGTTACAAATATAAACAAATCTACTCTGAAACAGATGAACTTTTTACCAACATAGAGACTGACCTGAGAGCTGAACCATCTTGGCTGATGCAAAGCAAAGTGGCATTACAGCTAGACAGGACAGCAACCACACTTAACACATTGCACATCCAGTACTTCACGGATGCTCAGGTTACTCTGCCCAGCGCTGACAAAGACCAGGCGAGAAATAACTGGACCATCATCTCCAGGGACAACAAAACACAAACGGAGCGCACTGTTTTAATCGGGGGGACCGTAGAACTGGAGTGCCGAGCACTTGGAGAACCAGCTCCTGCAGTAGAGTGGATTTTGGCTGACGGGAGCAAAGTCAGAGCGCCGTACATCAGTGAGGATGGAAGAATCATCGTAGTTAAAACTGGCACGTTCACGTTACGGACAGCTGATACTTTTGACACTGGGCTTTATCACTGCATAGGCACAAATTACAACGATGCAGATACTCTCACGTTTAGAATTACTGTGGTCGATCCTTATGTGGAACACAACGGTGTAAATGGAGCCAAACTTTCTGCATTTGTTGGCAGCACACTCTACCTTCCCTGTACATCCACGGCTGTTCCAGATGCTGCCGTTAGCTGGGTGTTACCCGAGCACGTGATTCTTCATCATTCTGTAAGAAACAGACATATTTTTGAGAACGGTACCTTGAGAATACAAGGGGTAACAGAGCGAGACGGTGGCTACTTCAGATGTGTTGCAGCCAACCAGTACGGTGTTGATCTTTTGGTTTTCCAAGTGCTGGTTAGAAAGGACGAAACCACTCCAAAGAAAAAGCACGTAGCTGCGGGAGAATGGGGAGAGGACGATGGCTCTGGCAATGCAGTGCTGGCCTCTGCCACAAGACAGAAACATCCTTTAGCTCCTCCAGCTACCTTGACAGCTAGGCAGGAATCTGCTGCCTCAGCATCCAGGAACGGGGTCACACAGAGCGCCCATAAAAGGAACAGCTACGGGAAAATGACTTACCGGCACTACAGGGACAAAATCAGCAGGCGGTTTAGAGGACACAGAAGACCGTTTGTTTCCTCAGCCAGGAGAGTCGATCCACAGCGCTGGGCAGCCTTTTTGGAAAAAACAAAGAGGAACTCAACATTGATAGAAAAACGAGGCGAAGTTGCAACAAAACCACCTATTCAAGCCCGTAAGGTCTCAAAAGTACCTGGGGATGAGGAGGAAACATCTGGTGATCTCGTATCTCCAGAAGAAGAATTCATCATACCAGTAACAGAGGCAGCCACCGTATCTGCTCTGGGGAGAGCAGTGGAAAGCGCGATAACTGCAGGACTTGAGATGACGGCGAGTAACAGTCCCGCGAGGATAACCTCCCTCCTGGGTGCAGAGGCAGTAACTCCCCTGCCCTCGCCTTTCCCACAGGCTGTGTCATCTGACAGCAGAAGGACACAAACATATCTGAAACCTACAATTACAAACTCATGGGAAAGGTCTGATTTAAGTCAAATATCAGCAAATAGTATAAAACAATCGACTGTATCAAATGGAGCAAGTAGAATACCTACACTCTTCCCTGCTGGGCAAAGATTGGTATATTCTGGGGAAAGTAATAACCAGCATTTAAAATCTGTATCTACGACACCCATGACAGATGTTACAGACACCAGCATGTCTGTAACTTCCCAAAACGCAGTGGGCAAGCTACATGTTTTTACTGAGTCAATTGATGAGATTTCCACCCAAACAGATCACCGGGTATCTGTGGTGACAGTCAGTGAAACGAGTCCTGAATTTGGTCACACTTATTTTCATAGTACTCAGAAACGAGTAACTCCTAAGCCACCACTGGACTCAGTTATCATTACTCATCAGCAAATTCAGGTTATTCAGGATGTTACAACTCATACGCCCCAGGCCAAGCACCAATATGGAAGACGAAGGAAAATTTCTGGTAGGAGACGAATTGTTAGACCAGGACGTATTCTAAGTACAAAAGAGCACAGACACAGTTTTGGGAGGCCAGGATCTGTCAGAGGAAGTACAGCTGTGGCTGCAGATGTTCAACTGAATATGAAATATGTATCAAATTTACCAACCTTAAATAATTTAAGCAGCTCCATCAACCCATTTAGCCCAGAAGCACCTCTGTCCTCACCCTCCATCATGAACATGCCATTGGAGCACCCGGAGGGTACTCATCAAAACACAGCATTCCTCAGGGAAGAGAAAAACCAAGCCGGTGCAAGGCAAGAGGCTACTGCCACGGTCATGCCTTTGATTGCAAAAGGCACCCAAGATAGTCAATGGGAATTAGAGACCAGCCCTCCATTTCAGACAAATACCAATAGAGTCCAAACTTTTAGTATCAGACGACCAACAACAGCAACCCATACAGCTCATATTACGACAGACACTACACATACTATAAGCACTAAGATATCTTTGACCCTTGAATCAGTCTCAGCCAGCATTAAGCCTAGAACCTCAGCAAAAAATTCCCAAGGAGGAAAAATTACTTGGGAACATCTCTTTGGAAGTGGTGCACAAAAAGATGTCCTTCCTCTGAAGCTACCAAAACAGCAGACAGGTATGTTTCTATCAACAGAGGTATCGACCATACTTCCTAAAACTACGGCAGCATTACCTATGTCCAAAATGTCTCTTTTGCACTCCACGCCTGTTTCAACAGGTGGGAATCACAGCAGTGGTTTCTTGTCTTTAAACAAACCCAGTCATTATGGCAACAGTAAGTCAGAAGAACGTCTTCCCACGGCAGAACCGCAGTCTGACTCTCATCCTGCAACTAGTGCAACCGAAGAAACGGATGTAACAAGTGTGAAACCAACAGTTACACCTATGGTTGCTCCTCAAACTGACACCAAAGTCACCAAAAATAAAATATTCAGAGTGGGAAGAAAGAGAGGTCAGAGGAGGAGGAGGCCCCCTAAAACATCTACTTCACAACGTGTGACTGCCGGCCAGAGCACCGCAGGGGTTCCCTCTGGGACCACAGCCGCGCCTGTCGTGACAGCACCTACTTCATCACCTCTGCCCACGAGTCTCATGGCTGCAGAACCTCTCTCCGAGAGTGCAGGCGCAGTCTCGGTGGCAGAAATGCCAGCACCGCGCAGCCTCCACACGCCAGCGCAGCACCCCGCTGGCCACCTTGCCACCCGGCGGCCGCCTGGCTCACAGCCCCCCGGCCACAAGCCCAGACGCAGCGCTGCTTTCGGAGCCGTTCAGCGCCACAAGCGCCCGACCTGCCACAGTCTCTGCAGCCGCTGCGTCACAACCTGCGCAGCAAATCAGAGCCACCGCAACGGCAGCTGAAAAGTCACACCTGAAAATGGATGAGAGAGTTATCCAAGAAAACCGTGTTACACCGCCCACATTCCCAGCAAGAACCGAGTCAAGCGGCAGAGCCCCTGCTGCATCCGCAGACATCTCTGCTCCCGGGGCTCAGCATCCCACCCCACCCCCAGCCCGAACAGCGCTTGTGCCGCCTGCACCCACCGCGGGAACCCCCTCGCCGCCGGGGGGGGAAATCAAATTCTGGCAGAAGCCCTCTGCTAAGGTCACAGAGAGAGGCACGGCGTTAGCTGTCAGTACGCCGACCGCACCGACACAGATCGCCACTCCGCACCCTCCTCCGGGGGCCGGGGACAAGGCCAGTTCTGTCAGAGGCTGGTCTGGAAAGAGACACGATCAAGAAACTACCGCAGTCAATTCTAGAGCCTTGGACTCTCTAAGCAGAAATCATTTTGCAAAGCCCAGAATAATTGGAGGAAAATTAGCTGCTTTTACTGTGCTAGCTAACTCAGATGCTTTTATTCCGTGTGAAGCTACTGGCAACCCCCGTCCAAGCATACAGTGGACCAAGATATCATCAGGTAAGCTTGAGAACCCTCTCTAGAATTTACCTTCCATTATAGTCTTGTAATTTGACGGATGTTTTGCGTGCCAAACTCAAATATTGCTTTATTTAGGAGTACTGTGAAGTATCACTGAAAAGATGAACTTGGAAACAGGGAAAAAGAAAGATATCCCAGAACACTTGCTGGAGTGTCTTACCACTGAAACAGTTCTTTAGGGAAATTAAAAATAAAAGAAATATACAATCTATATTTAACTATAATTCTGTGCTTATTGTGAAAAGATTTCAATATTTATTGTTTGTTACCTGCTATTTCAGAACAGTGAGACAAGTGAAAAGAAAAACCTGTCTGTGGTTACAAACCATCAAATGAAGTTAAAGCTATGCCAAAATATTTTTGAATACGCAAAGCCCAGACGCAACTATGCCAAAGTGGTTTTGGATATGTAAAGCCCCATCTGCTTTATCCAAACTTTGTCTCTACTGAGGACCAAGTTTTGTTTATCCTTCAAAGCTTTGTCACTGTATATGCAAAGTACTGTTATTTCTCTCTTTCTTATCGCTACAGTCTTGGTTATTTGGGCACAGTAGGCAGGATAGGGAAAGCGTTTTCAGGGACTGAGTACAAAGGAGCCGCAGCGAGAGGTTCTGACGCACTGTTGCCCCCTTCCTTCCGTAGGCACCGATGCTCGGGATGGCCGAGATGTGGGCAGATGGATGGTGTTTGCCAACGGCACGCTCTCCATCGCCCGGGCGCGCCTGGAGGACCGCGGGCAGTACCTGTGCACCGCAGCCAACGCGCACGGCGTGGCACGGCTCCTGGTCACCTTGTCGGTAGTGGCCTACCCACCCCGCATCACTGGTGGCAGGTGGCAGCTCCTCACCGCTCACTCCGGAAAGCCCGTGGCAGTGAAGTGCAGGGCTGAGGGCAGGCCTCCTCCCACCGTCTCCTGGCTTCTAGCAAATGAAACGCACATCTCCGACTCTTCTGCAGGAAATAGCAAAGTTCACGTGGAACCAGACGGCACTTTAATTATCAAGGAAGTCACCGTTTATGACAGGGGCCTCTACACATGCATGGCTAAAAACCCAGCGGGCACTGACACGCTGGTTGTAAAGCTGCAGGTGATCGCGGCACCTCCCGCTATTCTGGAAGAGAAGAGACAACGTGTTGAAGGAATGGCAGGGGAAAATCTGAAACTCCCTTGCACCGTGAAAGGGAATCCTCAGCCCACTGTCCACTGGGTCCTCTTTGATGGCACGGTGGTGAAACCTCTGCAGTTGGTAAACGCAAAGCTGTTCCTGTTCTCCAACGGTACCCTCCACCTCAGCAACATCGTCCCTTCTGACAGCGGGAATTACGAGTGCATAGCCACAAGCTCGACTGGCTCGGAGCGGAGGGTGGTGAGCCTCGTGGTGCAACACAGAGATACGCTTCCAAAAATAGCTACCGCCTCTCAAGAATTGACTCAGTTGAATTTTGGGGATAAGTTGCTTCTGAACTGCACAGCGACTGGGGAGCCAAAGCCCAGGATCATCTGGAGGTTACCTTCCAAGGCAGTTGTTGACCAGTGGCACAGGTAGGAGTCTTCTTTTTTCCCCACCTCTTTGAAACTTCAAACACTGTCTTCTCTGGTGCTCACGTAAGAGGCTGTTAACATCACTGAAACAATACATTGTGAACTAAATTCACTTTTAAGTATTCAGCAGTGGTAAAACATCTGTGATGATGGCTCGTTATTACACGTCTAATAACAGATCACATCAATTGTCATAAGCAGGTGATGTCTTACCAAAATGGATACAAGTCGTATTTGAATTAAGGAAACTGATGTTAATCATGCCTTGGCTAAATTTTAGTTAATTTATAGGAGGAAAAGTTATTTCCAAGAGATTTGCGAAGTAGGAGTCAGGAGTAAGAGGTTTCTGTCGTCTGCCAAGTGTACACTGTGTGTCACCCACACCCCCTCCCACAGTGACACTTCCCCTTCGCTTTGGGAGGGACAGTCCCAGCCCAGGATGTTCCTGGCAGCCTCAGGACAACTTGCAGTTGGGCTGAGGGAGATCCGGGTCCGTGCCCTGCTGCAGCAAAGGCAGCCAGAGAGGAATCACTCGGTGCCAAGTGTCGTTCTGGCCAACACGCAGCAGCACGGCCAGCTGCCCCCGTCCGGGGGCAAGTATGGTGGGTTATCTGCAAGGAGAAGCCGGAGGGAGAGGAGCAGGGGCTGGTGGGATGAGGGACGTAAGGTTCAACAGGCTCATGTGTTCACAGAACAGTTTTCAGCAAGGCAGAGGTGGCATCGTGCAGCTTTGTGTACCTGCGTGGAGTCCGTGAGCACGGGCACAGCCACGTAACATCAGGTTGTAACCCTGCGGTGATGTGGACACAGTGCCTTTGGCGAGAGCTTCTGTATCGTATTGTGCTGTCAGTACTGTCAGTCACCTTCAGCGCTCAGTATTCATCTCCAGCGGTTTGTTCCATGATTCTTTTTCCTCTTTCTCCCCCCACAACAGAATGGGAAGTCGAATCCACGTCTACCCCAATGGATCCTTGGTTATTGAGGCAGTTACTGAAAAGGATGCAGGTGACTATTTGTGTGTCGCAAGAAACAAAATTGGCGATGATCTGATACTGATGAAAGTTAGCATCACAATGAAACCAGCCAAGATTGACCAGAAACAGTATTTCAAGAAACTGGTGCCATACGGAAAAGATTTCAGGGTGGACTGCAAAGCCTCTGGGTCACCCACACCAGAAATATCCTGGAGTTTGCCAGATGGGACGGTGATCAATAACGCGATGCTGGCAGACGACGGTGGAGGCAGGTCTCACAGATACGTCCTCTTTGACAATGGCACTCTGTATCTCAACAAAGTTGGCGTAACAGAAGGAGGAGATTATACCTGCTACGCGCAGAACACGCTGGGAAGAGATGAAATGAAGATACACATCACGGTCATCACGGCAGCCCCGCAGATAAAGCACAATCACAAGACATACGTTAAGGTGACAGCTGGAGATAGGGCATTACTGGACTGTGAAGCCGTTGGAGAACCCAAGCCAAAAATATTCTGGTTGCTGCCTTCCAGCGACATGATCTCCTCGTCAACAGACAGACACCTCCTGCACGTCAATGGTTCTCTGTCAGTCAGTCAAGTCAAACTGTTGGATGCCGGGGAGTACATGTGTGTCGCTCGTAATCCTGGAGGTGATGACACAAAATTGTATAAACTGGATGTTGTTGCTAAACCACCTATCATAAATGGTTTATATGTGAACAAAACAGTCATGAAGGTGACGGCAGTCAGGCATTCAAAGAAACACATTGACTGTAGGGCAGAAGGGACACCTCCCCCGCAGATTATGTGGATCATGCCTGATAATATTTTCCTAACAGCTCCCTATTATGGGAGCAGGATTGTCGTACACAAAAACGGGACACTTGAGATTCGGAACATACGGCCTTCTGACACGGCAGATTTTATCTGTGTGGCACGTAATGACGGGGGAGAGAGTATGCTGGTGGTGCAGCTGGAGGTGCTAGAAATGCTGAGGCGGCCCGTGTTTAAAAATCCATTCAATGAAAAAATAATAGCAAAACCTGGGAAAGCTACCACACTGAATTGTTCTGTGGATGGAAACCCTCCACCTGACATAAGCTGGATGTTGCCTAATGGCACATGGTTTTCCAGCGGCATCAAGAGTTCCCAGTTTCTCACAGGTAGCAACGGTACCCTCACCATCTACAGTCCCGACAGAGCCAACGCAGGGAAGTATCGCTGTGCTGCCAGGAATAAAGTGGGCTATATTGAAAAGCTGATCATCTTGGAGGTTGGCCAGAAGCCCAATATTCTCACTCCCCCGACGGGGCCGGTGAAGGGCGTTAGCGGGGAGTCGCTGTCGCTGCACTGCCTGTCTGACGGGAGTCCCAAACCCCAAACAGCGTGGACTCTGCCGGGGGGGCGAGTGCTGGATCGACCGCAGCTCAACGGGAAACACATACTGCTGGAGAACGGCACTCTGGTTATACGAGAAGCCACCGTTCACGACAGAGGACATTATGTGTGTAAGGCCCACAATAACGCCGGAGATTCCTCTATAACTGTTCCGGTCGTCATTGTAGCCTACGCCCCGAGGATTACGAACAGACCGCCGCGGACCATACACACCGTGCCTCGGTTCAGCTGCACTGCATAGCACTGGGAATACCAAAACCAGAAATTACCTGGGAGTTACCTGACCGCTCGGTACTCTCTACAGGTCACCAAGGCCGAGCGTCTGGGAGCGAACTGCTTCATCCCCACGGGACGTTACTCATCCGGAATCCCCGACCCTCAGATTCTGGCGCGTACAAGTGCACGGCAAAGAACCATCTTGGCAGCGATTTCACAGTAACGTACATTCACGTCATTTGAAGTAAGAAATACAGCAGGAATGATTGTTAACAAAGTCTACAGCTGGACCGAGTTCGTTCTTGAGTAAGTGTAATCAAAAGCAGCCATAGGCATGTAAGTGCCTAAATACACGTTCAGTATTCAGTCTGCAGTGACCCTGCGAAAACAGAGAGGAAGGGCTCGGGGAAAATTAGATCTTGCATTATTATCTAGCATTGGTTCTTTCAGCGATCACACAGACTTAAATAAAAACAACCTTAAGGCACTTTTGCTCTGCCAGCAAACACTGAGTATCAAGTAAAATTGCTTCCTGGAAATGTACCTAGAGATCAGTAAAGGACAGACTCCTTCACATGAGTTTAATATTGTCCACCTTGTTCGACTGTCACGAGCACGGATCACACAGAGCAAGAGTGTCTGGGAACCGAAGAGCAGAGTTTATTGTGATGCAGATTACCTTCTTAATACGTTTGAATATTTAGTATGTTTTTTTAATAAATATTCAATGGTGAAACAAGTAGTGATGTATTTTTAATAATACAGCTCTGTTTCACACAGCCTTTTTTGAAGAACTTTGGGATGACATGTACGGAACATGTTGGTTCTCATTTTTAAATGAGAGGAAGCTCTAGCACTGTTTAGAAAACATGTACGGACCGCATGTAGCAACACTCCAGCTTGGTAACATTCTCCTATTGTCACAAAAGCATTTTTTAAAAATTTCTGTTTAGAAAGCAATTGCATCAATTTGCATACAAATATAGAATTCTCATTTCTCAATTCAGTAGGTGGGTCTAAGAAGCAACCTTCTGTATGTGAGGGAAAAATGCCTTCATGATGGCAGGGGATGGTTACCTACACATTTTACACTAACGAATCATGAATTAGACTGGTCAAATCGATCTTTAAAAGATTAAGCTAGTAATTAAAGCACAATTTCTTATTTTCTTCCTACGAGAGAGATTAATGTCAGGACAGAGGGGTGAAAATACACGCAATGCAGCCTTTCCCCTTAAATTTGCCAGGTCAGCACCTATGTGTCTCACGCCGTCCCCACAGCTGGTCCTGCAGCCGGCGGTGCCCGGCACGGCCTCGTCCCGCCAGAGCGGAGCAGAGACTGCCCGGCTCCATCCAAGAGAGCGGTCCCATCATCCATTACAGTGGATGGATGCGCAAAGGGTTCAGCATACCCATCCCCTGCCTCATGAACACCTCCAGCTCTTTACATCGTTTCAGGAGTGGTAACACGTCTCCGTTGGGCCTGTGTGATCCACCCCTGACAAGGAGCGGCCGCAGTGCAACTCCTCTGTGCCAACGCCACAGCGGCATCGGAACCGCCTGCACTGAGGTCCCCCAGCAGAGCTGATCCGCGCACACCAGGCACGCATCAGGGAGAGAGTATTCCACTGCCAAGAGCTAAATGCAGATTCTACCTCATTTAACCACATCACAGTCAACCTGGGCATTTTAATTTTTTTTTTATTTAAGACTATAACCTCAGCTCGGATTGCTTTTCTGCTGGTTTGATCGTTTCCTGACGTCAACCACATATGGTTCGCTGTGGGCATTCCCTCCTTCCACAGCGTTGCTGGAGCAGTAGCCCCAAACGGCTGCGTTACATCCGACTCGCTGGTTAGTAGCTGCAATAGAACAGCAAATCTCCTAAAAAAAACCAACCCTGAACAGAAATTATTACATAAGTAAGACTTACCCGGCTATTGTAAAAGCCAATCGGAACTTACTTTTCTGCAGATTTCCGCGCCGTGGGCATTGTTTCCCCAGCCGGCCGTGGAAGGCTGCGCAGTGCCCTCTTCCCCTCCCCACGGAACACCTGACTATGGGACCATCGACAAATTCCTTGTATGGTAAAGTAAGCAAACTGAGTTAATACAAAACGGGGAAAAAAATATTCCTAAGGACATTTTAAATGCCCCACATGTTCCACTTTCAAAATTAATGCATTTAAAAAAAAATTATCATCATATAGACTAACTCCTAAATTACATCAAATAGCAATAAATTTATTCTGCTTTTTTAACTCTAATTCAAGCAAAATTATGACATATTTGAACAGGTTTGAATAATAACGATTTGTCTGTAGTAATTTTGATTTATAATGTCCTTGTGGTTTTGCACTCGGCTGCTCATACATAATGCCTTCTGCTGCTGAATGTCACCCCGCCAGCACGGCGCAAGCCCGGCGCATGAAGCACTTGCCATACAGCGCGGGCAGCAGACACAGGTGACAGGAATAACTCATTTTGGGGACCCTAGTACAAAGAGGTGTCAGCTACGGCAGCACTGAAACCGCAGGAGGGACTTTGGTGGCTTTTCCCCCTCACTTGGTGACGCTGGAAGGAGGTTTGTGCTGAAGGCATCAAGTGAGCCGCGGAGATTCGCCTCCTGCGGCGCTTTGGGGATTTCCCTGCGCAAGCAGAGCAACATCCGCTTTGACCATCCAATCCCTCTGACGATGTCATGCACTCCTTTAGAACTCATCACCCGTGAACTTTATACGAAAAAGAACAAATATGAAACACTGCTACTTCTAGTAGGTTTATTAACGTTACATTGTGGCTTTTAATATAAACTTTAAGAAGTTCTAATACAAGCAATAAACCCACTTCAGCACCTTCTTACCACAATGAGAGCAAGAGAAATTGGTACTTTAAACAAGGAACTTCATAAAGTGCATATGAAAATTACAGTCAAATAAACACCATTTAAATTGATGCCTGTTCTACCAACAAAGAAAGAGGTGAACATTTCAATGAACAAATTAACTCTTATGCCAAATTCGGAAGTGCCTTTCAGTTCAGCAGTTTGGTCCAGTGCAGTCCTTTCACAAAAAATAAAAATAAAAAATCAACAAAAACCTCAAAGAAGTGTTTCCCACAAATAAATAAATCCAGCATTCTTTGTCCTCTTTAAAAGTAACAGGACCTAAAAAGCACCAAATTCATAAAATCTGCAATAACGTTCTTCAAATAGACCCACAAGTCCATACATTTAAATCTAATTAAACGCAAAAAAATCCCCAAACCCAAAAATCCCACCTTGTTACATATTCACATCAACTGCAGCACAAAAAATAATTATTGAAATAATAAGAGAAGAAAAGTAAAGTTTGCTTTCTAGCAATAACTAGTGCATTGAGTTTCGAATGTTCTGTTCTTCAGTGCAAACGTAACACGACGTCTCCCTTCCATCGCTGGTTCAGAAGTGTGAGGGATGCCCGTACTGGTTCGCTCCTTGCTGCGGCTGGTTACCTGCGCGACAGAGCGAAGGGAAGCGTTCGTGCCTCACGGCCGCACTCTGCAGACACTCCGAGAAATACCGGTATTCCACGCAGCGCTAGCGAACGACAGCCAGTGCGCTCCCTTACACAGCTGCCCGATGCTCGCAAGAGGGGCAGGCTTCCCCGGGGGCTGTCCCTGCGGTGGGACTGTAGGAGGGAGGGGAGAAAACACGCAGCAGATTGTGACTGGGCCACCAGCCCAGTGCCTCGGCTTCTCTGGAGACCAACAGAAATCCACGGGGGACACTACCACCAGAATTTTGCTATCACATCACTGCTGGGAGGGGTAACCAGCCGTCAGTAGGTAAATTAATCACAAGTATATACGGCAGCACTTAAATGGGCAGAACACCTCCAGAAAGCAAATTCCGTGTGCAAATACACAAATGTATATTTACGTACATCTATGCACGCGCACACTTACTAGAGAGCTGCTTCTGAAGCTGCCTGACCAGCGCCGCCGTCTGTTGCTGCTGCTGCGTCTGTTGTAAGCCTTGCCTTGGGAACTGCAAAAGAAACAGGAAAGATGGAGGAACCGCGCGGCGCGCACGTGCCGGCTCAGAGCGTCCCGCTCAGGCTCAGAGCGTTCAGCTCGCGCTGCGTCAGCTCGCGCTGCCCCGCCGGCGGCAGGGCGGCACGCCCCCCGGGCCCCGCC